TTCAATTGGTGGTTTCTGTTTTGCAGATGGAAACTGGCGTTCGAGGGTTTTCACTGGCTTATTGTAAACTTTGATGTCATGTTTTTGGAGTGTTCTGGTTAGGGGTTCGGTGAGTCCTTTGATGTAAGGTAGAACCGCGATACCTGCAGGTTGGCGACTTTCCTTCGACTAATTCGAAAAATGACCGGACTAACTCTTCAGGGCTTACTTTGATCAATCCTGAAATTAATTTCTTTGGATAGCCATTTGATGCCAGAACTGTGGTTACATGATTTAGTTCTCTTTCTTTGCTTTCGTTAGTGGTAGGAAGTGACAAGGATCGGTTGATAAGTGTTGTTGCAGTGCTAATTTTATGTTTTTGGTCGTGGTGTGATAAGTAGTTTAAGTAACGGTCTGTGCGAGTGGGTTTGTGGTAAACGTCAATAGAAATTAATGTGTCAAGGAAAGCGATCTTTCCATCCTTCTCATTTTCAATAGTGAAGTCAATGTGTGGGTCAATAGAGTTTAGTGTGTCATGAAAAGTGATATGTTAGTCTTTTTTATTATGGAAAAACAATCGTCAAAGGTTTCCAAACTTTAGGTGGTGAAGTTGCATCTCGGATGGCCTGTTCTTCTATCACTTCCATGCACAAGTTAGCAACAATTGCGCTAACAGGACTGCCCATGGCACATCCATGAATTTGTTTGTAGGTGGTGTTGTTATAAACGAAAAAATTATTAGATAAAACAAAATATAAAAGTCGAATGATGTCGTCAATGTCTAGTTGAGTTCTGTCAGGAAGTGTCGGATCGTTTTCTAATTTCGTTCTGATATATTTGCATGCTTTGTCAACAGGAATGGCTGTAAAGAGTGCCAATATCACTTTGCCAATGCTGAAGTGATAGACAAGGGTAATCATAGAAACCTTAAAACCTTAGAGTCCTGGCACACTGCACTAACAGACAAAGCTGATAGTAACTCTAATACGCTTCCAGCACAATACACAATACTTTTAAGAAAGGAACTCAAGAAACATTAATTAATTAAATAGTCATATTACCCATTTGTAACATACCATAGTCTCATATTTCATACCACCTACTTAAAGTGCTTATGAAACGAAATTTTTGCCTTGATTTTTATTGTCTTATTAAAAGGTACTGCTTAAATGATGAAGAATGACGTTTACAGTTTGTGCGTATCTCATTCCCAAGTTATTGCACTTTCTATATTTTGAGTTGTGACGTCACTAGTTTGACTCAAAATAGTGGCAATAACAAGAACATCTGATATCTTGATGATCATTTAATAAAATTCAATGAAACTCGGCACATTTAGTGGGTGCAACGAAGTGAACAATTTGGCTTGTTTATGTGGTTGTTATGGCAACACACTCGTCCCCAGTCCCTTCTCTTCCAATTTCCATATGATCCATTTCCAACGAAATAAATAATAATTTCTGCAATTGTCGCTTATTACTATAATACGTGTAGGTATTGTGATCAGTTTAAGCCGTTATAACATGCAAACATCCTCTGCAAGAGGTCTACAAGAGGAAATTTGTGAAAAGGAAGAGAAGAGGCTGGAGACTAGTGTGTTGCCATGACAACCACATGACCTGCCAAAAATATTCATATGGGTGCACCCACTAAGTGTACCAAGTTTCATTGGATTTTATTAAATACTCACTAAGATATCAGATTTTCTTCTTATTGCCATTATCTCAAGTCAAACTAGTGACGTCACAACTCAAAATTTAGAAAGTGCGATAACTTGAGAATGAGATGAGATATGAAGAAACTGTAAACGTCATTCTTCATCGCTCTAGCAGTACTTTTTAGCAAAACAATAAAAAATCAGGTGAAAATTTCGTTTCATAAGCACTTTAAGTTTAGCGTCCTTTATAGAATCATTTGTATACACCCGTCGAAGGCTATAGACTGATAGCCGAAAGCTTGTATAAATAAATATTAAGTCAGAGAACGTTCAATAAATAATGTTTCAACCTGGCTATGCATCCTCTATTTTTTCAACCTTTATATTAACTTAACTTGTAACTCTTGTAATTAATGTTTGTAATCTATTGTGGAAATGTGTATAATTAAATAATTTGAATTTGAATTATCCTTTACTCATGTACTTGACTTGTTTCAAAGAATGCATGCTCAGAACAAGAAACAAATGAAGACCTGCACGGACATCTCAACCACTTCCTATTTGGTGATTAACCCATTGTCGCAGAGTGGCAGCACTCGCCCCTTGACAAATAAAATCATCTGGCATGGAGAGAGTAAAATAATAAAGGAGGGCATGTCCAGGGTGCATTAACAGAATGCACTAGCCAAATTGTTTGGTTAACCCATCAAGTGGTAGCACTCTCCCTTTGATTAATAAAATAATCTGGCATTAGACAGAGCAAAACAAAGTAGAGTGCATTGTTACAAAAAAGGTTAAAACTGGAATAGCATGTAGACTATTGTTAATGGTATCCAAGGAAGAAAGAAAGGAATAACATGCATACACGTAACTTCTTATAGAAGAACTGAAACCTTTCATGAATGAAAAGTCATAAATGGAGGAAATTAGTGACTGATTAATCATGACAGAGTTTGATTGAACTAATTTAGTAATCCCTGAGTCAAGGGGTTGTATTTATATTGCTATTTGCAATGATACTTTCCAGAAAAAAAGCTGAACATCCATGGAGATTGCAGTTTGATTATTCAGCAAAGGAACTATAGTGCACATTTGCAGGTCAGAAACTGTTTGATGTTTAAATACTTCCTCCACTTGGCCACGTTTTTCCATATAGTCTTCAGATGCTCCTCTTTGGGACAGCAGCTCCATTAGGTCTTGGTCTGAACTGACCAGTTGGAAGGCCCTTTGTATGCCTATGCTTTTTATTCTTTTCACCCAGCCACAATACACATTTTCTGAAACTGTTCCATTTTTAATTTGCTCATTGAAACTTTCACCATTACCTATATTAAAAGTCAATTGCATGATGTTTCTCTATATACTATGTGGAAATTTGTTTTCCCTCTTCCTACTACACTGCTGTCAGGAATACATTTTACATTACCCCTGTGGGGTGGCAATGTCAAATTCCCAAATGACACAAGCAAATTTTCTAATAACCATCAGACAATTGAATATTGGTCTTGGGATACAGGTACTTTTTTTTCGCCCACAATATTACATTTACAAGGAATAGGTATATATATATAAGAAATGGGCTAGGAGCCTACTAGAAACCACATGGCTTTTTTTAGGCCCCTAGGTTATTTAAGCTATATCATTTAAGCTCATGTCAGTTCAAGTGTTTCTCAGAGAATTAGTAAGGAAAAGATCGAAGTATTATATAATACATATGAATATATGTAAATTTTTTTTACAAAAACATGTTATATTGTTAAATCTAGTTGTAAAAAGTACTTTTTAATTATTGATTTGAAGGAAGCATAAGACCTTGGTTCTATATTTCTTTATTCCACACTTCTATGCCTTCATTGGCAAGAGTATGTGTGGTATAGTTTGTTCTGTTACTTCTTTTGTGTAGCAACGAAGACTTTCTTGTGTTATGATTATGAATTTGCTTAGGGGCCATCAACAAATAGATTTTGTCCCGCATCGCGGACTTGGGCCACGATTGTTTGAACCCCCTACCCCATCGTGGACAAGTTAAAAAACCAACGAGAATCAAAATTTATATGGTCCAAAATATTGTCCGAAATATGACTGTGAGCGGTCTACTATACTGTCTATATGACCTATAGGCAAGAATATGTTGACTTTTAACATACAGTCAACTTGTAATAAATAAAAACTAGTTTCTGTGTTGTTTAGCAGTTGTAAGCGACATAAAATTTAAATAAATACCTGATTTGTTGTCCACAAATGCAATACATAAGAGTATTCTCTGATTGAGCGAAAGAAAGTTTGTCGATGTGCGTAGTGAAAACTGAAAAGTCAACAAAAAATATTCGGCCGCGATCAGTTATTCCAGCGGCAACATATATAAAATCAGAAACTAATTGGAATGGCTTCGGGCATAGGTTGTGTACTTTGACCTTTCATACATTTCGCGGGAAATTCTTTTACTCGTGGATTTCAACTATACATGCAGAATACAAACCAATGAAGCGTGCATTTTTTAAGGCAATATTTTCAAAATATGAGCAAATAGCTAACACTATTTGGCAGACATGCTCCATCTAAAACGTATGTAATATATCGGTATCCGAAAGGTGATTACGAATGTTTTGTCGAACGCTATTGTTTACGTGCCAAAGGGGGGAAAAAATCTCAAAAAATTCACGCCGAAGCGCAAACCACTTGGAAAAATGTATACAAGGACAACAAAGAGAAAATATAAGAGTGTCAAGCTCTCAGGGAAAATGAACGTCATTTGTGAGGTATGGTTATTAATTTTAAGGATTTGCGAAGCAAAATCCTTTATGTCATCGGGTGTGTAAGATAGATAGATAGATAGTAACACGTTAGTGACGTTGAGTTCCGAGTCCAGTATTCGTGAATCGCTGGAAGCTATTATCCGCCATTTATGTTTGTCGATATTCGCAAACTTTCGGGCCAAAACCCTGCTCATGTTCGTAGAATACACCAATGACTAAACATTGTACCACTTACTTTCAGCTAAACAAATGAATATACGACTGTTTTGTGCTAGAAATACAAATGGAAAAGGTCCTAAAAGACAAATTCGTTCAACTAAGGAGTGGCCGTATAAAATAAAATCTGTATTGAAAACTATTGTTCCCAATGATTGTTCCATTTTTCAGTAAATTGCCTGTTGCTGTTCCGGAATGCGGAAACTTCGAAATAATTTTGTTGTTTTTTATCCAAACAAATTCAGTTTTTCTTTTATCTTTGAAGCAGTGATAAAGCCATTTAAAAGTTGTAGTAGATTAACTTTAAATATAACAGTAATTAAACAAAAGTTGACATTCGAAGAAAAAATTTGTCATGCATGATGTTGTGTTTTGTTATACCACATTTTGGGCGATATTTTTGCATCGATCTGGGCTTCTTGCATTATGAATTGATGTTTTCAACCTTTCTTGCATTATAAAATTGACAACAAATTGCAAATCCCTATGCACTCCTTGAGTGCCTATTTTTATAATATACACACGACATAAGTTACAATACATGAAACCGGATGTTAAAATTAGGTTTTGTAAATCTAACATTAATGAAATTATAAAACACGGATATTTATTATATCAAGAACATGTTTGACCCTTGCAGACTCGATTCATCTGGGAACCCATTGACGAATGTGAGGCACAGCAATCACAAGAAAAGCCATTGCCTGTTTTTTTTAAAGCAACTACAGAAGAGGCGAACCACTCGCAGGTGTCCCCTGTCAACCTGACACCAGAGCCAGTAGAACAGATTATCTTAGACGAACCACCAATAATTGCACCATTAATCGTGAGAAAGAATACTGTGGCGGATTTTATTTCTTTGAAAAACAGTGAATCCAAAAAGTCCTTAAGAGACAAGATGAGCTGAGCCCCCCTTGTTAAAATTTCATGTTGACACTTGGGGGGCTGAGCCCCCCATATTTTTTGCACGTTGCATAATCCTAACAACGTCAAAAACACATACAAAAATATCAGTAAACGAGAATGTTCTTTAGAATTGCATTTCATTTTCAGTCATTTAACACAATGATTTTTGTAATCTTTACTTAATTGCATTGTTCATGCACCGTAGCAAATTGGCTGTTGAAGTACCGATCCTGTTTTGTCTGAATTAAACTCTATCCAGGGCCGTAGCAACCGGGGGAGCTGGGGGCTGCAGCCCCTCCCCCAATATTTTGCTAATAATCATTCTTTTTTCAAAATCATGCAGACCTTTATCATTTAAATAATATACCTTTAAAATAATGACAATTGATTAATTTTAAGCGGCTACATTATCCATGACAAACTGTAAATTAAATACGCCTTCGCCCATCTAGTGCTACTAAATTGTAAATTTCGACATACTAAAACGCTGTTTTCTGACCATCAGAATTCTGTCAAATCTTCCCCCCAAAGTCCAGGAAATGGCATTTCAGATACTCTAAATTAAAAAATTTCCTCAGGCCTTTGGGCCTCACTTTCAGACCCCCCAATCAAAAAGAACTTCCTACGGCACTGCTATCCATAGCATTTTCACTTCAGTTATGTTGATTTTATATACATAATTGAAGTCACAGTCCCAGCCAAATTTTCATATTTTCTGAACCCCACTTTCCCACTGGGACAAATTGCTTGGAGGAAGGGAAGTTACCGCATCCTATTTTTTTACGGCAATTTTTTTTTCGCTAACCAATCATACCACTGAATGTACTTTTCACTTGAAGGTACACCACCGGCTTTACATCTTCAAAAAGTAGTACAGAAACCTTGAATTCCTTACTCTTTTGAGACACTCAGAATATTTTATATTACTAACGGCAATTGTTTTTAATGAGAGTAATGTTTCGTGTTTGTGCCACAATTACTAGAATAACCCCAACAAAATTTAGAATTTCCAAAATATCATATTGTACCCCCCCCCCCTCACTCCTGCCAATTCAGGACACTTTTGGAGAGCTCCCCTTGTTAACATTCCAGGACTACACCACTGGTTCCTGGACTTAGAGAACATGGAAATTCGCTTGACACCATTCACCACCTAATGGTAGCTCCAAAGAAGAACAGCAGTCGAGCGATCCGTTACAAAGGGCTTATTGACGCGAAAATCGCTCCAAGAATAACAACTATCGAGAGAACTGTGAAAATCAGCACTTTTTGTTTGCCAGAGTAAATTACCGCAAGGAGCTTTGTTCCATGTTTCATGAAGAGGCACAATATGAACAAGCTGCATATGGGTCCGTCTCCAGCCGTTTCCAGGTATCATCAACAGCATCGTTTTCACATTCAAAATGACACACCAAATCTCTGGGATCACGATTTCCCTCATCCAGGCTACCTCATCACAACCTCTGGATACCAAATGCAGGTGAAACAATCAGTTCGTGACGACCAGCATACAAACGAACAAGACAAAATCTACACAAGGGTCGACTTAAATGATTACTCCAAAGACCCCGATTTTGTCAATTTTCAAGAGCGTACTCACACCATAGAAAGCACTGAAGATGAAGTAGTACCGAACGACAAGTACAAGGACAAACTTGGTCGACCACCTATGGTCCCGCTGTGCTGGTTTTAAGAGCCGCTATAAAATTCACCTCATCCAGTGGACAGACTCATGCAAACGATCTCCTTCCCATTTTATCAGCGCAAGTGAAAGAAGGGAAAACCGTGGCTTTTGTTAAAGTTGATAACGGTTGCAACTGGGATGTACGGTCTGTTGTCAACTCGATCTACCTTTGCCGCTTGTGGAGGGATTCGGGCCTTGACATCCTGGGTGTGGTAAGTTATGCTGCAAAATACTCTGCATACAACCAAATTGAACATTTGTGGAGCCCGATGAGCAAGAAGTTATCAGTTGTTCTGTATGGAAAGCCACAACTGTCTTAAGTGATCAAATATCACTGTACGTGGTGTTTTAATAATTATACGAGGTGCTTTTGCTGTTATACGCAGTAGTTTGATCATTATACGCGGTGCTCTGAACATTATACGTGGTGCTTTGATCATTATACACGGTGGTTTGATCATTATACGAGGTCCATTTATCATTATACGAGGTGCTTTGATCATTATAGAGGTGCTTTAATCATTATACGAGGTGCTTTAATCATTATACGAGGTGCTTTGGTCATTATACGAGGTCCATTTATCATTATACGAGGTGCTTTGATCATTATACGAGGTGCTTTGATCATTATACGAGGTCCATTTATCATTATACGAGGTGCTTTGATCATTATACGAGGTGCTTTGATCATTATACGAGGTGCTTTGATCATTATACGAGGTGCTTTGATCATTATACGAGGTGCTTTGATCATTATACGTGGTGCTTTGATCATTATACGAGGTGCTTTGATCATTATACGAGGTGCTTTGATCATTATACGAGGTGCTTTGATCATTATACGAGGTGCTTTAATCATTATACGAGGTGCTTTGATCACTATACGAGGTGCTTTGATCATTATACGAGGTGCTTTGATCATTATACGAGGTGCTTTGATCATTATACGAGGTGCTTTAATCATTATACGAGGTGCTTTGATCATTATACGAGGTGCTTTGATCATTATACGAGGTGCTTCTATCGTACGGTGAACATACTTTAGTAACTTTACCGACATCCTTACGATCAGCGGTCACTATCACCAAAATGGGCATAAATTTGAATAAATTTGTTATAAATTAATTATGTATTTAGTCTGGCGGGAAATTTTCAAATGGAAATTTTCCAAGATGGCGTCCGAGAAAAAACTATGAAAGAGATTTTGCAGCAATTAAACCTGTTTATATTAGTTGCTATGCTCGCGAAGATTGATTCGGTTGTATAATGAAATAATAATGGATGAGGTTTTAGAGAAATTGAACCTTGGTCGCTTCATTGATAAGTTTAAAGAACAAAAGATCTCAGCCGATATGATATGCAAGTTGTCGTTGCAAGAGTATGCAATGTTGGGTATAAACGACCGACAAGATATTATGGCACTCCGAATAGCTTGTTCAACGTATGGAGAAAAACCACCTACAAAGTTAAATTCATTTTGTGGCGCCCCCCAGTTTCTCATTCCAAAGAGTGTATTAGAGTGCTGGTTGGACGACGACTTTACCATTAAAGAGATATCGAGGTTGTTGTCTGTTTCAGAGAGTACAATTTATCGGAGAATGCGTGAATATGGCCTCAGTAAATTACAATTTACGGATATCTCGGATCATGATCTTGATCTCCAGGTGAGTATTATCCAGGCTGTCCAGACCTCTCAACTTTGCAGAGAAGTTATGCACCTATCAATGTTTCCCCCCTGAGGGGGGGGGGGTGCGGGCAAAATTCTCCACTATATTTCCTAAGATAACAAGGCACACATATGTTTTCCAATGCGAACATACAGTCTATACTGGTTTAAACTTGGTAAAAATTGAGACACTGTGTATAAAATACCTTTATCGATGAAACTTGATCGTGCTTCTCCGCCATACTTGTTAACAGGCCTTTAATGTCAAAACCGCGCAAATTTTCAAGATGGCGGATGTCAAAATTTCCCGACTCTGGGAGTTTATGCATAGGTCAAATTCCCCTCCCTGGTGCTTCATAGTGTGGTCAAAGTCCCCTGGGTCGCCCCCCCCCCCTCAGGGGGAAAACAATGATAGGTGCATTATGATGTTACTCTTGAGTGTGTATCCACACTGGGCAAGCTTGAAAAATTCAAACAGTTCAAATTGTGAAACGTTTGCTATCGAAAGCAAAACAAGATGGAAAAGATCCGTACCTAAGTTTGTTGGAGTATCGCAACACACCCATAGGTAACGTAGCTTCACCAGCACAAATATTGATGAGCCGACGTTTGCGTTCGCACTTACCAACTACCCCAAATCAACTTCAGCCAAAAGTTGTTGATCCTGAGAGAATGAAAGAAAAGTTCGAAGAAAAACAAAGAAAGCAAAAACGATATTATGACAGAGGGTCCACGGAGCTTCCCGCATTGCAAGAAGGAGAAGCAGTACGAGTACAAGTACAGAATAAGTGGAAACCAGCAGTGATCAAAGAGAAACTGAAAACACCTAGATCGTACATCATTCAAACACCCAATGGTCAACGATTTAGAAGAAACAGAAATCATATCAGAAAGCAGAAGTATGGTGTTCAGATATCAAGACAGTGGGAACCAATTGAAGATTTCCAGTCTGATGGTGCCAGAGAAGTTCGTGAGGAACAAGTCTCAGAGCCAAGTACTGAACAATATTATAAAACTAGAAGCGGACGATTGAGTAAGCCACCTGAGAGATATCAAGCATGTTAACTTAGTTAATTAAGGTTATCATGAACATATTATTTACGAGACATTTAGATTTAGATTGACTATTAAGTTAAATATATAATGGTTATATATAATGAACATTAGTCGTGAACTAGTATTATTAAGTATTATCATCGAACAGTAATAAACACTTAGTTTAATTAGAGACCTTATACAATTTTAAATAACTTTAAAAAAAAAAAAAGAAAAAAAAAGAGAATTGTAATATATTCAGTATATATGCATGCTAATTAGATTCATGTATATAAGGGTTGTTTGTAACATAATAAACAGACTAATAACATAACATATGTGATATTTCGGAACTGACTCTACTTCCTTCGACATCAATGTAATCTAATAATCATGATTTTTTTGTGTGTTGGTGTTGTGTACTCAGGTGAATATGATACGGTTGATACCGGTATTTGTGATGTTACTCTGAGTGTGTATCCACACTTGGCAAGCTTGAAAAATATGCCTGGCTACAGTGGGAATCGAACCTACGACCTTTCGAATACTAGCCCAATACTCTGCAAAAAAATCATGATTATTAGATTACCCGACCTGACCGCGTAGCTCAGTTGGCAGAGCATTGGGCTAGTATTCCAAAGGTCGTAGGTTCGATTCCCATGTGGCCAGGCATATTTTTCAAGCTTGCCCGGTGTGGATACTCACTCAGAGTAACATCACACATATCATATTCACCTGAGTACACAAGACCAACACAAAAAAATCATGTTTATAGGGGTTGTTCATATGAGAATGTCTATATAAGGGGCCTGTTTAAATGGAGGCAAGTTACCCGGCAAGGTGAGTTTATATGATACAACCTGGCAACTCACCTTGGCAAGTTCTGGCAGAAAGACACAAAATCTTGCCCAGGTGAAATGACTTATTTTACCATCCGTCTAAACACTTTACTCGGGAAAGGTAGAAATTTGTCTTGCATTTAAAATAATAGCTTACAAATAAATATGAATGATTAGATATCAGCTTTCCTGAATTTCTTGCCATTAATTCTTGTATTATCATTATATTTTGTATGTAATGTTTTTGAAATCTTTTAAGCGACTTTGTGTTTTGCACAAATTTATGCTAAGTTTCTGTTTATATGGAATTTGCTTAGCAAATGCTATATAAGCCAATCCCATACAAACAGTAACTTGCCTTGCTTGCATGGCTAACTCACTCGCCTTTGTATTTACAGGCCTCAACCATCCGGCAATCTAGCTGGCTAGTTTGTGTGAATTGCAACACACAGGACAGGCTATCCCACAAACTAACAAGAAATTCCCCCTGCATTATTGGCAAGAAAAAGGAAGTTAACTTATGCTTATTTCTTATGCCTACTTATTTCCAACTGAGGGGATAGAAATAATATCTGGGCTAATTCAGCCAAGTTTATCCAATTCCTGTTTTGCTTTGAATTGAATACATGTTGATTTTTTATAGATTCTAAGATCATACATAATTTTCAAAATTTGCATGGAGTATTCAGCTCTGGAAAGAAGTCCAAGCACTAAAGGTTTGTAATTATGAAAATAAATTGGTAAATTCACCCTTACAGATTTATTGCATCCATGTCATTTTCCTGGGTTATAGAAAGTTTTAGGCATAGGTTAATTAGCATAATTATATACTGAGTGAACTTTGGCAACATTAGACAGATTTAGATTCAGGATCAGGGCCATACGCAACATTTTTTCACCAGGGGGGCAGTAAGGCCTATATGCCGAAAAAAGTCCCAAATATCCAAAGAATAATTAATAATGACATTCTAAAAATCAGGCGCTCCTTGCGTTATCAACAATATAGTATTGTAATTGTTAACCATTATTAGCAATAAGTTATTGGGTTGTTAACCCTAACCCCCACCCTAACCCTAATCTCTAACCCCCACCCCCCTAACCACTAACCCCTAACCCCAGAGTAAAGCTGCCGGGATTTGTCTTGATGTTCACATCTTCAATTTAAAAGCTCTTTTCCACTCATTGCAAAACCAAGTGACCAGCCTGCTGTGAGTGCTTCCATCTTATTGAAATAAACTGTTGAGCATTGTGATTGGATAATGTCTTGTACAATAGCTAGCTTGCGAGTTGGTTTTTGCCATGAGCGGAGGAGGGTCTTAAGTCTGTTATGTTCACACAGCCAACGTGAAAGTCTATTTTATTTTTACTTTATATTTAAATGACTATGTAATTAATCATATATCATGCATACTGTACATCCATGTAATTCTTTGTTAGGATAACGAACACCATGAAGTTTGGTGCTGCAAACGTTCTGGTAAAGTACCTGTCCTCTTGGTGGAAAAGACGAAATGTTACCTACAGTGTTATCGTTGGAAAGAGAATTCTGGCCGAAGTGGACGTAACAGAGCTGAATGAAGCACTGCAGTGCTGGCAAGTTTTTATCTTTTAGTTTTTGATTATCCACCCTTTCCGGAGATTGGATTAATTGTTCTCCATGAGCATTATGTATTTCAAGACATTAATGTTCCTCAAGAGGTTGCCGATTCATTTCAGTCAGCACTAACAAGTTTCCGAAAATTCAAGGCTGATTTAGAGTAGAACATTGAATTTGGCATGTGTATATGTACTGTCTATACTCTCTCCATTAATTTATTTAATTGTTTGATACAGTATATTAAATAGTGTAGACCAGCAGCTAGGTAACTTGTCCTCGTCGCATGCATCCTGGGCTGAGATAACGGCCAGTCAACAGTCAATGACCGGCTAAAAATCCCTGTTGACCAGTCACTTTATATCCTCATCAGTCATCGCACACAAATTCACCTTCATACAAATAATGTGATTGTGAACGTCTTCAGTGTTTAAAACTTGAAACAATACATATGAGATGTCATGGAGATGTCCAATTTGAATGAGGCAGTACTTGCACTTCTTGCCAGTTTCTACCTTCTGGATTTTGATTATTCGCAGATGCAGGAAATTGGTTTGAATGTTTTTCAGCATTAGATTTTTAAGACACAAATGTGCCACAAGACATTGCCAATTTGTTTAAGTCGACGATGACAAGCTACCAGAGTTTCAAAGTTGATATGCAATAAGCTGGTACTAATACAGTATGTACTGTATGATGAATATCATGTGGTATATATTTTTCTGTATGAATATCATGTGGTATATATTACTATATGATGAATATCATGTGGTATATATTTATATATATTTATATACAGTATAAACTATTGCATGCAAGGTGCCATGTATTCTTTATAATTGCTTCCAGTCTATAATCAATATATCATTACTATAACTTGTTGGTCCTTATAAAATAAAAATATACCTCTTCCTTAAACTAAGAAATTTTAAAGAGAAAATATTTCTAAAATAAGAAATTGAGTTTTCTTATTTTAAGAAATATCTCATGATTTTCTTAAGATTTTCTTAAGAAAAAAATTCTTAAGAAAATTAGTAAGAAAATTTTCTTACCAGTCTCCCAAGAAAATTTTCTTACCAGTCTCCCAAGAAAATTTGGACTTATTTTAAGAAAATTTTCTTAAAATAAGAAATTTTAAGGGAAAAAATATTCTTAAAATAAGAAATTGGTATTCTTATTTTAAGAAAAATCTCATGATTTTCTTAAGAAAAAAATTCTTAAGAAAATTAGTAAGAAAATTTTCTTACCAGTCTCCCAAGAAAATTTAGACTTATTTTAAGAAAATTTTCTTAAAATAAGTTTTTTTTTTCTTAAAATAAGAAAGTGATTTTTTGCTGTGTGTGGTTATAGTGGTATCACTGATATTCAAGATGGCTTATTTATTGTCCCGACCCGTCCAAGAACTTTTAAAAAAGCCAGGGTCAGGTGCACGATAGCCAACAGCAAAATATTCGCGAAAACATTCAATATTTTCATTCGAGGCCGCTATCTTTACAGTGATACCACTATAACCACAATGCAAAGCGCTACGAAAACGTAATAAGGGGAATCATCTATTCAGAGGGCTATAATTTTGCTTGCAGATTGTTTTCAGGCTTAAACTTTTGCACTCTGCCTTTTGAAAACATTGTTTATTAGTCCGAAAATATAAAAAATGTAAAATTGCGGCAGCTCGTTTTCGAATCGGTCAATGTTCTATAGAAGATGTACTACTCTTATTCTTAATGTATTTTAAAACAAATACGGTGAAAACCTGACAATCTCTTATTGGTATAGTATTCATTAACATTATTCTATCTTTAACCATTCATAAACCGTAATAATTCATAACAGAAGTTGCGAGGTCCACCGCAGGACTTCCTTGAGGCATTAAGTATAAACTATTATGACAAATGGCCCTACAAGGCGCCCTTACTACTATGGAAGTTTCTGTGATCATAATAGGAATTTTGCATGGGTATAAATTCTAAGTTTTATAAAGCATTTATAAGAAATTTTGAGGGAACTGACTAGTTTTAAACATTGAGTCAGTTCTCTTAAATATTTCTTACAAATACTGCGATGGTGTAACTTTGATGGTGTAAACCAGGCTTTAGGCTAATTTTTCTGTAATTAGAATGGCTTCAACAAACTGTGAATCAACGAGCTTGAATTAAGACCGTTATATTTTCCATTTCAACCGTATCGTAGACCTGAGAAAAAGTGGGAGGAACATATCATATACTTCCTGATCTCTCATTTGAGACATGCAACATAAACACAATCAAGGATATTTAGTTGTTGCTGCATACATAATGAGTAAAGTATACGGTCAAATTTTACTTGCAAAGTATATATTAATAAATATACAACAACAAAGGTATATATACTTGTACTTTTTTGTTGCATACATAATGGAGTAGTGGATTATTTCCCGTTTTTTAAGGCATTTGAAAGGGGAAAGTTAAGGATCCGGAACATTCAACACTTTTCCAGGTCCGGCTTGATACATCCCATGTGAACTCAGAAGACGAAATTATGAAGATACAAATTAATACCGAAAACTCGGGCAGCTGATTATATGACGAATACATAACACCCGCAAAGCTTTCGCTTCTTTTTTACGTGGGTGTCAGGGTCTTGATTAGATCGCCGAATACTAATGCTATGGCTGGCGCCTTACTTTTGTCAACATTGCACTTAGCGAATATGAATAGCGTACACATTTTAAGAATAAATACTGCGGCCTAAAGAGGTTCGATTTTAGTCTAAAGATCAACATTAGTTAAGCTTATAAGCGCCTGCTTAGCAAAGAATAAATTCGCACCCCACAGAGTTTCAGGGCCCCAGCACTGCAAATAAACGAAAGGGGAGTTTTGACGCGTGTCAGCACGCAGTCACCAGTGCCAATTGGGATTCGATCACACTTGTACATAAATGCATATTTGAAAGGACATTGTCGCAACACTCACTCAACAACTCATGAATATATGAGTATGTGTATACTAAATGTCTATTTCTGGCAGTTTTATACATTGGGAACAATTGTAAGGTCTCAAACTGTGTGTAAGTAATATATTTCCTCGCAAGAGTAACCGTGTTTGTCGTGTGTGAAGTCAAAGACGCTCGCTAAGCGAACACAGGTGCACATAATCAATATAGCGAGATTGGTTCTCGCTGTGTGTTTGATAAATAACAGTGTTGCCAACACGACGTCCATAGGCAATCACAACTCCATTTGCTGCAGTCAAAAATCCAATTCACATCAAGGTATCAGCTTATCGGGAACGAAACGCGTCTCGGGATAAAAGGAAAATTGCTGAACTGTAAACACCGCTAGTATACGGACACGCAAATACAGCTGCACGTCATAATGAGTGGCTACGTAGGAGATTTCAGCGTCCCTCAAGGTCTTCATGACATGCTTCAGGAGTTTGTAGTTCAATGTCTGATCGAGAAACCGGAGGATCTTGCCGCCTTCGCAGTGGAGCACTTCACCAAACTACGCAACAGCGGTAAACATGGCAACGTAGGAGAAGGCATCCAAGCCACGCGACCGGTGGCAGAAGCAAATGACAACAACATAGGAGCTCAAAAATCAACGGCTATTGTTAACGGCGCTGAAGACATGGCGGACACAACTTCTGACGAGGAGATGGTTCCCCCTGTTCGAATGCCTGTTCGTGGTCGGCGACGAGCCGTGGCTGCTGAAACCTACGATCCTAGCAAGGAGGATCATGACGTCAAGAAAGTCGTACATCCGAAAACAGAAGAACAGCGAAGTCGGCTCAAACACGCTATGCAAAACATATTGTTATTCAAAGCATGCGAGGCTGAACAAATACAAGACATCTTGGATGCGATGCTCGAGAGAAAAGTTCAAAAAGGGGATGAAGTCATCACACAAGGCGACGACGGGGATAATTTCTACGTTATCGAGCTTGGAACGTATGATGTGCTTATAAACATTGCCGCTGGGGAACGGAAGAAGGTGCATACGTTTGTCGATTCGGGGAGCTTCGGTGAGTTAGCACTAATGTATAACTGTCCTAGAAACGCTACTATAATCGCCCAATCGGAGGGGATCTTATGGGCATTGGATCAAGCAGTGTTTAGGCGTATCGTAGTAGGCGCCGCCGCTCGAAAGAGACGTTCCTACGAATCCCTACTGGAAGGTGTACCAATGCTTTCCGAGTTGACGGACTACGAACGTGCGAACTTAGCCGATGCTCTAGAGAGTACGAGTTTTGAAAACCATGAATGCATAATCCAGCAAGGAGATAGCGCAGATTGCATGTACTTTGTCGAGGATGGCTACATACGGATCGTGTTAGGAAAAGGTGCTGAAAGCAAGGAGATCTCAGTGTTGAAAAAGGGCGACTATTTCGGCGAGATGGCTTTGGTAATGAATCAACCGCGATCAGCGTCTGTGTACGCTAAAGGTAAAGCAAAGTGTGCAAAGCTTGACGTCGGAGCATTTGAAAGACTCCTAGGACCGTGTATGGAAATTATGAAGAGGAACATTGAGAACTACGACTCAACCCGTAAAGCATTCGGTTTAGAATAACTTAGGTAAACTATTATAAAATTTTAATTGTTAATGGATTCCCTATATTTTGATGACAATACCCGCAAATAGACCTAGACCATTACGACAAAACAAAACTAAAATAATATGCTAAAATGAAAAGATGGTTTGGAGTATAAACGTTTTTGCTATAGTTTAATGTAACTATTATAATACTGTTACTCGAAGATTACTACAATATGCAGAGATAAACTGATATCTCAAACATGGCGGTCTAGTGTAGATAGGATTCTACAATAAGCTGCTGTGGCTTGGGTTTGAACTACCTGAGTGAAGAAGACAAAAACACTTCGAGCAATTATATTTTCCATCCCACGCTACCAACTCCTTACGGAGTTTTTGCTCGAAATATCGAAGTTAATCTTTTCATGTAGTCGCAAGATTCAAACCTCGGAAGCTTACTGTTGTTGAAACCCTGTATAGTTGGTGCTAACGGTTAACCTAAGTACACGAAGTCGCAGCATCGACTTCTGTATTTTTGTTTTATCAAAACTAACGCATGTCGGTTTATACAAACATGGATAATGAATGCATGTAAAGTAGGGATGGGCTAAATGTACTACTGACGTATGAGTCGTTACACACAAAAAATCGTTCGCCTTCATTAGTGTAAAACGTAAAGGATCCTAGAATTTTACGAGTTCCCGAATCGTCGAATACGGCGTTTCATGCAAACAGAAAATTAATAATCTTCCATTGAGCTTTGTAGTTCTACAAACGACGGGTGTTTGCGCGCGACAGGGGGTTAAAAAGATGTGGAGATAAATCGTGTATTACATGATTTTATATATGAATTGAATTCGAATATATATGCTTCGAAGTGAATGCGCTATAGAATCTGCGCTATGCGATCTATGCATACTTGTTAGCGAATTCTTAAGCGCCGGTCAACAATGACCGCGGCCTGTCAAACAAGGATGAGAGTTGATCTGTTGATGAGAGTTGCAATTGAGCTTGTTCATATTTTGATGAGAGTTGATGAGTTGTCGTTGCTCGTTTTGCCGGTAATATCTAGTCAACTCTCATCAACTCTAATAGAGAGTTCAAGCTTCGCGTTATACGTCAAACGGCAAACGCCAGGCAAAGAAACATTTTACGATATCAGGCAATAAAGAGTAAATTAGCTTGCTGTTTTAAAACTGAAATACATAATTATTCTTTCGACACAAGAAAGAAAATACGAAACGAAAACGTTCAACAAAAATTTTGTCAAGAAAATTCAAACCTGCCGTTTGCCGTTCCCGGAACATGAAGCTTAAACTCCCTGATGCAACTCTTGATCTCCGGGACTCTCGCTTGCTAACCGTCTCATCGATCAACTCTCATTCTCCGTTGACCGGGGGATTTTAACAACGATGTCGGACCATGCAATGAGTATCGCACGATCCTTAATTCAACACAGTCCTTTGTGAACGGATCCTTAAACAATACTTAATCTAGTACAGAAATGATAAAAAATTTAAAAAATCGTGTAAAGTTAAAAGCCTGTTTTCTACTTCGTCTATACCGTTTCGAAACGTAGGGTATTTTTTTGTTACCTGAGCACTAGAGTGGGACTAATGACTTGGACACAAAAGAAAATGCTACGATACGTTACGATACAATTGAAGTAGAAAACAGGCTAAAAAATAACGAAACCATTTTTAATTTTTTTATCTCATCTGCGGTTGTCTATATCTACATATACTTTTTGCCGTTAAAGTCCTCGTATATTAGAATAAGCTTTTGCTTCTCTATTATAATGAATATGTATTTACTATTGTAGCAATTACAGTAGTAATTGCGACAGTGTTGAAAGATTTAATAAAATCATAGTATATACACAATACAGTGATGACATTTATAGGGAGTGGTCTAATACGGTAGATTTTAAAAATTTCTGTTGTTAAAATTAAAACAATTTTATCATTGTTCCATATATCTGTGATAAATGCGCATGCATTGAGATCTAATTTGAAGTCCCCAATTTCCTAAAATTTCCAATAATTTTAACATCAAACATATTCAAATGAACTGGCGACTTAATAGAATCCATTCCTATCATCAAAAAACTTCGCCGATTGACCATATTATGTCCGTAATTTAGATAAGAGCTGAACGCGATTCGTCACAGCTTTCAAACCGGTTTCCTGTTCGAAACGCCGTGTCGTGCCGAAACACAGCATATTTCTTTTTTCGTGAGAACTACTAATTCAAAATGAAATTAATATTGTAAGGTAAGGAGGACTTGTCATGTATTAAGAATCATTCGTATGAATTGATTATGAATCATTCAACTGTAAGGTTGAAACAGGACTTTTTTTCCGAGTACCAACCTTTGCGGCTTCAAATGTCGGCGTTGTATTACAAGACGTAAAAATTTTGGATTTACTGCTGAAAACAGAACTATACACAGCAAAAAACGCCCAGTCTGTAACAATGTTGATGAAAATAAGCTTGAACAATACTTTGCTGCCCATATTGTTCCTGGTTGTCAACAATATTGCTCAGCATTGTTCAGCCTGAACAATAATTGTTAACAACCAGGAATAATATGGGCAGCAAAATATTGTTCAGGCCTGTTTTCAACAACATTGTTACAGGTTGGGTTTTTTTTGCAGTGTAGGGGGCTTAGTGTTCATAGGAGCTGGGCCAGCCCAGCTGAACCGGGATGAATCGTATCACGAATTTTTTTTCTGACCATAAAAGATCGTCACTAGAGCTGCGCGGTTAACCGAAAAATTCGGTTGTTCCGGTACTTTTTTCATCACCGAAAAATTATACGCAAAAGAACCGGTAGTTTCGGTTTTAATTTCCCGTTTAACGCCCGCCAAACGCCCACCTGATTGCAGGTTGAAATGTTTGGAAAATAACAAGATTGTGCTCTGTGCACAATATGCACTGTACTAAGTGCTCAAATAGTTGATATTTTAGTTGTGATAGTTATTGTTGTGAACTTGCTTTAAATTCCTTTAAAAAATAAGAAATATTTCATCTTCATAAATAAATTCCAATTGTTCTTTTAAAATATTCAGAGATTTATAAAAACTTACAAAGGCATAAATTCATCTATATAGTAAAATTGCTAGAAACATACATAAGTGAGTTCATACATTTATACTGTTCTTCTTTTTTGAAAATAACCGAGCCGAACCGAGGTTTTTTTGTTCCAAAAAAAACGAAACCGGAACCGAGATAAAATTTTTGGAACCGCACAGCTCTACTTTATACTATACTACTGGAATCAAACTAAGCTAGAATTCGCTAAACATCAACTTTGAAATATCATTTTGGATGCATTGTTTATCAAAGCCATGATAAGAGCTTTATTAAACGAATCATCCCGCGATCACAGTTCCCGATTAACTGGCAGTCTTAACCCACAGTAGCGCCAAAAGATGATGTCTAAAACTCCAGTGGGATTTTAATTTTTCAGTTCTTTTCTTAAATATATGATGAATTTCATTGCATTATAAAAAGCCGTCGTTGTCGTGTTGCCTTCCGACATCGTGAGATCTCTACAGGTGGCTGGCTTTCATCATGCTCCATTGCACATGGATGTATGGAGGGCAATTTGAATGTCATTATTTGACCTCCATCTGCCTTTTTTGAAAGCCGTCAGCAGATGGCAAAAGAAACCGCGCTTTGATACGTTTCGATATACGATTAAAATGGAAACCAGACTTTAGAATTTCACGCGTCGCTGACCAAAAGTAGCTCTTGTCTTTAATTTTATCAATGCAAAAGCTTCTATAGAACCAGTGGGGTAACGGAGGAAGAGGGGGCCCCTTAAGGCGGATTTCCAGCCCTCGCACGAAGCTCCTCGCAGCTCGCTGCGAGTGATGCATGAGCACTTTCATCCAATCACAATGCTAAACAGTTCATTTTAATTAGATGCAAGCACTCGCAGCGAGGAGCTTCGTGCGAGAACTGGAAAACCGCCTTTAGGCATATTTGGTGTCATTGTTTGACTGAGATATTATATTCATATTGAATCATGATTGAGTATTTATAGAATGTTCTGGAAAATTCTCTGATAACAGTCTCCAACACATGTAACAATTAATAAGAATATAAAGTAAAATCAGCTACCGTTAACTGTCGATTATTTAGCATTATTAATTTTGCATTTTCCCATTGATTCTTAAATTAACCTCAATTTTTTACGTTTTCTAATTTTCTGGGCGAGATAGGCCGTGACTGATGGGACCTTAGTTTTTTACTAACCCTACCCAATGAGTGTCACGCCGCTGTATGGAACATGCATGCATAATGAGCTATGTTGGATAAGCTGCTTATAATTTAGTTGCTATTTGGGGGTTCATGAACAACTCTATTCATAAGTGTTTTGAAGATCGTGCTTATATGCAAGAAGATAAGCTTTGGGGTTTTAATATTTCAAACAAATTAGAGCGCATTTCCTTATCTTTTTCCTCTCATTACACAAAGAGATTTAATGATTAAATTTAAAATTTTACAAACGGCGCACGATACAAGCAAATTCCTAAATCCTATCTTCATTTAACTGACCGACACTGAATTTATCTGTACCAGGCATAACTTATTTTTACAAATATGAGATAAACCACATTTGACATTCAAAATCGTGAAAAAGCAACGCGTTAAATCATAGATATTGGTCAAGTGAGAAAAGGAATATATACATTACTTTGTATATTGAAAAATATGCGAAACCGTGCGTTATTCAAAATCTTGTTTTCAATGTTCAAGGCCATGTTGGCATGCATGAATGAGCTAATGCTCAGGGGGACTGATAGAAGCCTTTGGGCCAAAGACCCAAAGTCGTGAAATGACGGGCTTATGTTTCGGGTTTACTGTATATATAGTCATCTGTGTGTTAGTGGGTTTAAGCATTTACAAGCATGCCCATTGACAATGCCGAGCATTGAGATACTATATAATTTCTGTAATAAACTGAATCTCTCAAATATATAGACGTGTCTATATATTGACATTTTTCATAAAGATTTAGATTCAAGGCTAACATGCGATAGTTTTTGTCTCCCAAAACTAAATAAAATTGCAAATATCGCCATGTTTCGCGAACAAATATATTTCTCTTTAATATTGGCCCCAATTACAACCCACATGGCCTATCCCGAACTCAAGTTTGCACGAAACATGATAATATAACACGCAGCCGAAGGTAGGCTATAACACGCAGCAATTAAGGTACAACCTGCACGCACTAAGGGACTGTATGTGCGTGATGTTGACGAACCCAAACGAAGATTTCTTTAAAAGAAGTTCGAGTCGAAAAAAACTATTACCCTTGGCCTTGCCTGGCGTAGTGTTTACTATAGTCAGACAAAGAAATGAAACTCAATGAGATAGCTTTATTAAAATACTTCGTAAACAAATGAATCAATTTATAGTTACATTAATTTAGGTACTAGAAAATTACAAGCCGTGTTTATATTAATGAAAGTTTACATTTAAAATTGCTTTTTGAAGCTTGCAATATAAAAGAAAGGTGCAGTATTTGAGACTTTTCATTATTGAGACAATACAAATAATTTTTGCAAACGTATGCGCGTGTATGCGTAACCGAGCAGCTGTTTCATATTTGAAATTTTGTATGTTAAATCAATAAATGACGTCCGATTTGCATGTTTGATTAATTAAAATGATAATGGCCACAAGAATTACTTCACTTGCCACAAGCAACATTAGCATATTTTTTCCTCGCCTCATTTAAATTGCAACAAATAATTTGTGATAATAAAAGCGCGTATACGTTATTGGATTCCAATATAAAATAGACCGAAAAAATAAACTAAACATGCAAGAGTAGTATATGGCGACCAATATATCTTCTCAGCCACAAGAATTACTTCACTTGTCACAAGCAAAATTAGCATATTTTCCCCTCGCCTCATTTAAATTGCAACAAATAATTTGTGATAATAAAAGCGCTATACGTACTTATTGCGTTCCAATATAAAATAGACCGAAAAAATAAACTAAACATGCAGAATAGTACGTATATGGTCACCGATATCTTCTCAGCCTTAAGATTCAGGAGTGTATAGTGGAGGGAACTCCCTGGCTGCCGCAAGAGTTTATTAATTTGTTGTTACAGTTTTGTTTTCATTTATGGGGAAAGTAGCCTGTGTCACAGAGCTATATGCGGGGGGGGGGGGGGGGGGGCCCCCCTTTTTTCCA